ACTCTCCATTTTTGCTAGAGCAGGTCTGAGTTAGGTTTTTGTCACTTGCAACCAAAAAAAGGAGCATATCACCCACCCTATAACACTCATGATCACTTAGGTAGGTCATCTGCAAATAGAAATGTTTCCTTTTTCTTTTTTGAGACAGGGTCTCAACCTGTCTCCCTAAGTAGAGTGCTATGGCGTCATGGCTCACAGCAACCTCCAACTCTTGGGCTCAAGCAATCCTCTTGCCCCAGTTTTTCTATTCTTAGTAGAGACTTTTTTGCTCAGGCTGGTCTCGAACTCGTGAGCTCAGGCAATCCACCCACCTCAGCCTCCCAGAGGATTAGGATTACAGGCATGAGCCACAGCACCTGGCCAGAAATGTTTCCTTTTTCATATGTTACCACTTATACATCAAGGTCTGATTCTTGTTTACTATTTATCACTCTCTCTTTTTCCTTCATTAATACCACTGTCTTGTCCAGGATCAGTGGCTCATGCCTGTAATCCCAGCATTCTGGGAGGCCAAGGTGGGTGGATTGTCTGAGCTCACAGGTTCAAAACCAGCCCAAGCAAGAGGAAGACCCCATTCTACTAAAATAAATAAATAAATAAATAAATAGAAAAATTAGCCTGGCATTGAGGCAGGTGCCTGTAGTCCCACCTACTTGGTAAGCCAAGGCAGGAGATCACTTGAGCCCAAGAGTTTGAGGTTGCTGTGAGGTATAATGATGCCATGGCACTTTACCCAGGGTGACAGAGTGAGACTCTAAAAAAAAAAAAAAAAAAACCAAACCAAACAAACACACACACACACAAAACCAAAACACTGTCTTATAATTACTGTCCCAATTACATTTAACAGAAAGGGTGCATTTTTGTCTCTATCACTTCTCTTTTAAGATTTTTGCTTGCCTATTCTTGTCTATTATGCCAGGTGAATTTTTTAGTATGTTGTCAATTCTCCCAAAGATCCCATTGAGATATTAGTTAAAATTACGTTAAATATACAAGTTGAGTGTAAAGAATCAACAACTTTCAATCTTTCTCTCCAATGAGAAAAATGGACTGTCTCTCTTTATTCAGATCTATTTGCTGGTCTACCTCTCAAAGTGTTTACATTTTGTTGTTGTTGTTATTGGGGATTCATTGAGGGCACAAAGAACCAGGTTACACTGATTGCATTAGTTAGGTAAAGTCTCTCTTATAATTGTGTCACACCCCCAAAAGCTGTGTCACACACCATGACCATCCACACCTCTCCCTCCTTCCCTCTTTCTGCTTTCCCCTTCTCCACCCCCCATTATGTACTAGGTCATCAACTGTCCTCATGTGAGAATTGAGTACAAAGCATTCTTGGTTCTCCACTCTTGTGATGCTTTACTAAGAATAATGTGTTCCACTTCCATCCAATTTAATACAAAGGATGTAAAGTCTCCATCTTTTTTAGTGTCCAAATAGTATTCCATGGTATTCATATGCCACAGCTTGTTAATCCATTCCTGGGTTGGTGGGCATTTAGGCTGTTTCTACATTTTGATGATTGTAAAGTGAGCTGCGATAAACAGTCTAGTGCAAGTGTCCTTATAGTAAAAGGATCTTCTGGGTAGATGCCCAGTAATGGGATTATAGGATCAAATGGAAGGTCTAGTTTGAGTTCTTTGAGGGTTCTCCATACTTCCTTCCAAAAAGGTTGTATTAGTTTGTAGTCCCACCAGCAGTGTAAAAGTGTTCTGTTCTCTCACATCCACACCAGCATCTGCAGTTTTGAGATTTTGTGATGTGAGCCATTCTTGCTGGGGTTAGATTGTATCTCAGGGTGGTTTTAATTTGCATTTCTCTAATAATTAGGGATGATGAGCATTTTCTCATATGTTGGTTAGCCATTCGTCTGTCTTCTTTAGAGAAGGATCTATTCATTCAAAATGTTTACATTTAGTTTTAATCTTCCTTCCTGTTTGGACTACTGCTAGACACTTTCTCACGTTGTGAATGAGACCTTTTATCATAATGATTCCCAGTTATTGCCACTTAATCACATGGAAGGTCTCTCTGAATACTGACACTTTGTTGATTTTTTTTGTTAATTCTAACAGGTTTTCCATTGATTCTTAAGGCTCTAGTTAGATTATCATTATTCATAGCCAATAAGATTGCGTGCAATCTTCCTTCTCAGTAGAAATGCTTCTTCTTATCTAACCCTCATATTAAATATTAGAGGTGAAAACAGTTGCTTGGTTGATTTTTTTTTTTTAAGTGCACACCTCCTTCTTACTCAGCAAAATAAGATGTCCATAGTTAAGCTTTCTGCCAAGGAATATAACTTCCACTTGGCTGCTGTTCAACTATCATGCAAACAGACAAGAGAAATGGTATTCATGGTGAGTAGTGTGAAGGGCATAAATCAATTCTCTGGTAGTTTAGATTTTACTTGCAGATCAAACTAGGTCATTAGAGACCTTGCTTTGCATTTTGTTGGCCCTCCAGACTTGGCTCTATAGAGTTGCATTAGAAATATTATTAAATCACCTGAAAAATCTACTATCAGAATTATTTTTAAGGATTTTTTTTTGCAGTTATTGTCCATGGTATTGCTTAGTAACCTAAATGTAAAGAAGGACCTTTGACAAAAATGTCTTTAATACTATAGTCCCTGAAAAAGCAGTTTGTATAAGTCACTAATATTAAACTTCAAGGTCCCTGGTCCTTCAAATTGCAGTCTGAAATGTTGCAGTCTCACTGAGTTGTCCAAACAGGATTCTGGTACAGGGGTCGGGTTAACACGTCAAAGTCTAAACTGATAGAGTCATGTTAAAGTCAGGCTTATACAATATGGAAAATAGAAACAAATTTTGAGTGGAAAAATCAGAGGAATGTCTGCCTACCAAAGGAAAAGAATGGATAATATATGCACCATCACTAAAAGTCTATTCATATGAAAGTACAATGAATCTGGAATCCTCTCATTAAAAAGTGTTTTGTCATTATCACTTCAGCTTTTACTAAAGAGTATTACCAGGAATAGCCACATAAAACATCATCCTGAACTTATTATAAAAAATGTTGTCCAGAATATCATCCACCATTCAAGGTCTCAAAATTCAGGTCCCAGATGAGAAATTTCATTCAGGAATTTAGTTAAGAAAAAGCTTTGATTCCTTTTTCAAATTCCAAAGCTTGTTTATTTTGAGTAATGACATTTGGGTATTACTGAATTTCCCTTTTCTCTTCCAGTTGCCAAGAGGCTCAGAACGAAATTTGCCACTCAATCAGGGCAATTATACGAGCCCTCAGAGTGACATATTATTCATTTCATGTTTCTAATTTCTTCTTATTAACGTTATCATTACCAAATATTGTGCCATACAAAATCTTTTTTGGAAAAAAAGCCAAGTGTATATGGCATTTTGTTTGTTGTCAGTATGTGGTTGTTAATGGTGCAAATGAGTCCTGTGGTCTCAGGTCCTATGAGTCCTGAGGTGTCACTAAGGGAAATGAGTAGATGCACAGTGGAAGGAGAGGGGGGCAGTCTCACTCTCATACCCAAGCAAGGGACTGCAACTTACCTGGTGAATGAAGGAGCCAGCCAGAGAGGGCTGCAACAGAGGGCTGGAGATGGCCTGCCCCTCAAATGCCAGGAGCCACTGCTCAGTCCCTGTGGTTAGATTGGTTTTGTTGAAGTGATGCTTCTAGATATTACACACTTTCAAGAAAAGCTAGATTTTAAAGGAATCCTAGTGTTTGAAATGTTAGCAACTAATTCAATTTTTTAAAAACACACTAGGCCAGCAAAAGATAGAATCATGACCGCCAAAGAGTGGGGTGAGGGGGAAATAGGGAGTTGCTCAATGGGTGTGAAGTTTCAGTTACTCAAGATGGGTAAATAGTACAGATCTGCTAAGCGAGAGTCACACCTGTAGTTAGCAACACAATATTGGACACTTAAAAATTTGTGAAGAGTGTAGAATCCACTTAAAGTGTTCTTACCACAATAAAACAAAAATGCAAAGGGATATGAGGAAATTTCTGGAAGTAATGTGTGTGTCAATCATCTTGATTGTGCTGATGGTCTCCTGGGCAAATTCACCCAACTGTCCACACTAAATATGTGCAGTTCTTTGTGTATCAACTATACCTCAAGAAAGGTGTTTGTTTAAATACCGATTAATTTTTAGCTTTCTCTCCTCCATGAAAGGAGTTTATATAAACAGAACATTCTGGATCCAGCCACCATCTGTGATCCAGACATAGGCCTGTGGGCTTAGGAACATCTGGGAGCAGATATGAGGAACTCAATTATCAGGGAGACAAAGCAGGAACTTTGGCAAACTAGTAATTTTACTGGTGGGGTGCTGATGTCATAATGGCACCAAGGATCTCATAGACATGATCCTTGGAGAAACTTGAAGTTTTAAGCTCTGTCTCAGATTAAAGCATGGATTAGCAGGCAGAGTCCTGGACTTGAAATCTGGAAACATAGCCTCAATCTCAGCTCTGCCACCAACAATCACATCTTAGAGAATCTGCTGAATTTCCCAAGGCCCTCAGGTACACAAAGAAGATTAGCTAAAGCATGGGAATCTTCAAATTCTGTATTTCCAAAAGCACCTTATCAGAATCTCCAAAGATAATATGAGGATGAAAAGAAGTTTCCAGTCCTCAATCATTTACTTCTACAGAAGAATTATCTAAATTTCTAATGTTGCTGTAAATACTAAATAAGAATTTTCAAGGGCAAGTGGAAGAAAAAAAAAGATGAAAAAATAGGGGATGGTGACTACCAACCACCACCCAAGGGATTTCTGATTCTACACTCTCTGGCAACAGAGATACAATCACAACATGCTTTAATGCTTGGGCTATTTTTTGAAAAGGCCAGAGTTAATACTTAAAATGTACAAACAGGGCCATTTGGACATACACTTTTGTTATATCTGATAATTTTTTGTAAATACTTTTTAAAAAATCACAAACCATAAACAACTGGCTCTTCTCAATGCTTTCAGAATATATCATTACTTTAATTCTGCAATGATCTCTTCGAGTTTCTCCTTAAGGGCACCAGAGAACTCGGCCACCTTTTCTTCTTTTTTATAAAACTGAAAGGTTGGGATGGACATGATTGCACAGTCTCTCAACACCTCATCACAATCATCAGCATCCACTTCCAGGAACATCACATCCTCGTGCTTGTGAGACAGGTAATGGAAGAACGGCTTGATGGTCCTGCAGGGTCCACACCATGTGGCTGAGAAGTCCACAGCCACCAACTTCTCTCCAGCCTCCTTGAGTGCTGCTTCAAAGTCCTCCTTGTCCAGGATCACTCTCACCATGTCCACCTCCAGGGACTCCACTGTTTCTTCTTTTGGTTTTGGAAAGAATCCTTCCTTGAACTGGTTGGCTTCTTCTGAAGACTCAGGGAGGAGGTCACCTTCCTTGGGCTGGATTGTTTCTTCTGGGGACTTGGGGAGGTCATCTTCTTTGGGTTGGATTTTTTTTATTGAAGATTTGAAAATGTCTCCCTGCTTAGGCTGAATGGTCATGGCTGAGGATTTGAAGATGTTGCCCAGGTTGAGATGGGTGGTTTCTTCTGGGGACTTGGGGATACTGCCCAGCTTGGGATGGATGGTTTCTTTGGGGGACTTAGAGATACTGCCCAGCTTGGGACGGATGGTTTCTTGGGGGGATTTGGGAGTACCGCCCAACTTGGGATATATGGTTTCTTTTGGAGACCTGGGGATACTATCCACCTTGGGATAGATTGTTTCTTCCGGAGACTTGACATTGCCCAGTTTGAGATGGATGCGTTCTGCTGGGGACTTGGGGACAATACTCAGCTTTGGATGGATGGTTTCTTTTGGGGACCTGGGAATACTGACCAGCTTGGGATGGATGGTTTCCTCTGGGGACCTGGGGATATTTCCCAGCTTGGGATAGATGCTTTTTTCTGGGGACTTGAGGGCAATGCTCATCTTTGGATGGATGGTTTCTTTTGGAGACCTGGGGATATTGACCAGCTTGGGATGCATGGTTTCTTCTGGGGACTTGGGGATATTGACTGGCTTGGGATGGATGGTTTCTGGGGACCTGGGGATACTGCCAAGCTTGTGACGGTTGGTTTCTGGGGACCTGGGGATACTGCTCAGCTTGGGACGGATGGTTTTTTCTGTGGAATTGGGAATGTCATCACTCTTCTGTGGGACCTCCAACTCCTCTGTAGGCATGTGGAGTGTATTGCTGACCATGTGAACAAAGGGCTTCTCTTTGGTCTGGGCTTTGTCCAAGAACTTTGGAACTAGGAGATCTGCATTTCTGGGCAGAACCTGTAATGGACTTTCTAAACAGAAAAAAAAAAAAAAGTAAAAAAAAAATTAAAATACAAACAGAAAAAAAAGGCTAATCATATACTCCAAGAAAGACTGATGTCAGTCTTAGAGAAAATGATTAAAGTCTGGTGAATGATATATTAATTTGAATAACCTCATTCAACAGAAGACCAAATAGCATGTGATTACATATATACAAACACACACACACACACACACAAATACATATAGATAGGTAGATATTGTTTTGTAGAGATAGGTTCTCACTCTGTCACTCAGGCTAGAGTGCAGTGGCTAAATAGTTCACTATATAGTTCACTATAACCTTTTACTCCTGAGCTCCAACAATCTTCCTGCTTTAGCCTCCTGAGAAATGAGGTCTCGCTATGTTACCCAGGCTGGTCCTGAACTCCTTGCCTTGTGTGATCCTTCACCTTGGCCTCCCAAAGTGCTGGGATTACCAGCATGAGTCACTACACTGGCTTTTTTTTTTTGACCGCAACTTTCTCTGCTTGGTTCAACAGTACTGACTACTCCCTAAGTATACCAGTACTTGAGGCAACCCTCATCCCTCCTCACTTACCATCACTGTCACCTTCATTTGTTTCTTCCTTCGTGGCCAGCCTCATACCTGGTTCTTTTGCAGCTCCCTCTTTCACACTTTCCATTGCCAGTTCCTTGGCTACATTCACTCCTAATCCTTCATATGTGCCTACTGGTCAAGGCCTCCAACTTTTTCCAGCCTTTCCAACCTAACATCAAAATGAGTAACAACTGATATTCAGGTAGCACATTACAGTTGGTTTTCCCTATCTGTACTCAATACAGCAGTGTTTGAGAGCTTCATGGTGGCTTTAGTAATAGTGACCACACTGCACCTGAGGCTATGGGTACACACTCATGGCATTGTTCCATATAACACAGCAGACTGCTGAGGTAAGGACCATTATGATCAGCACTGCACAAGTGAGAAAATTGAGCCTTACGGAAGTCATGTGCTCATTCAAGGTCACAAACAGGATGTGGGACAGTTTCCAAAGCCCACACTCACAACTACTATACTGTGCCATGCTGTTGCCAAATGTCCTGTCTGGGCTGGGTGGTGTGGACCAACTTTTCTGCAATCTCCCTGCAGGATTCTCCAGCTCCAGTTTTCTCTTTATGACTTACTCATTGTGACCACCTCCTATGTATCTGCTCATGACCACGTTAGCCTCAAGAAAGTGCCATGTGGTGTCAAATGTCCACCTCTTGCCAGATGGCCTCCCTCAGACCTCCCAGGCCCATAATTCTGGCCTGTACCTTGTCTCATGGAGGCACATCCAGGTACACCAAGTGCCCCCACCTTTCCTTAGAGGGGCACCACCTCCTCACGCTGGTCTTCATTCCCTTGGCCACGTGGATCTCATCTTGTGAATCAGAATTCAAACACCAGTCCCCAAGAAGACTCCTCTTTTCAGCTCAGAACCATTAGCTTGTTTTCTGCTCTCACTCTGCACAACACATCCTGTCCAAAGTGCTATGTCTTGATGTGGAATTTTGTCTTCTCTACGTATACTTGGAACAAATCCACATCTGTTTTAGTTTTGCCCCAACAACATAAGTACTAAAATCAAGAGTGTGGTCCAAACAATGAGACCTCTCATGTTGTCCATAGATGCCTCAAAACATCTGATGGCACTGGATTTTTATGCAAAAATACATTTTATTAAGAGGGAAAAGGGATAGAGGAGAGTCTGTTAGCCTTAGGAAATCCATATTTCTTGATAACGTGAATATCATTCCAGAGAGAGCTCGTGCTTCTGCTCCATATCCTCAGACACTGCCAAGGAGAACTCTGCCCCATCACTGAGAGACTTTGACAAAGACAAAGGGACCCTTCTGATGATCACATCAGATGAGAAGTTGTCTTCACTCTCTACAGCTGCAAGCCTTCTCCTTCATTATGCTGCTTTATTTATTTATTTTTTTGGGACAGAGTCTTTCTTACTCTGTCTCCCTAGATAGAGTGTCATAGCATCATTGTAGCCCACAGCAACTTCAAACTCTTGGGCTTGAGCAGTTCTCTTACCTCAGCCTCTGAGTAGCTTATTATGCTCTGTCTTAAAGCAGAGGATGGGACTAAATGGCAGTCACTTATCTGTTCCATGTCCTCCTCAGTAAATGTTAGGAGATAAGAACCCATATAGTGAGACTGGGCATAATTCACATAAGTCATCATGAATAGATTTTATTAGCATAAAATATACTATTTTTGGAATTTGCTCATTGGTAAATTAATTTCTCTCCTTCGAACCTGTTTTGTACATGATTCTGGCTATTTGGAAGGGAGTCCAAAATGACACAGAGGAACTCCTAACTGAGAGGAGGAAGTGAAAATGTCACCCCTTCCCTGCCAGTGGATGAGGAAGCAACAGGACAGATGCATATGTCCTGACCCTCACTTCTTAGCTTGAAACTGCAGCATAGATGCTTGTCAGATGTGTGCAAAGGGAAGCTGAAGCAGGGGGATGTTTGACCCCTGCTCTATCTTGGAGACCAGGAAGAGTCTACATGAGTCCCACACCCAGGACAGCATTTGTCCCAGTGGGGCAGGGCCACTAGCAGAGGGTACAATGGGTACAGGGCCCTGGCCCCACAGCCTGCAATGGGGGAGGGGTGGATCTAGAAGTAGGGAATGCTGGGAACACTCTGAGACCAAGGAACAATAGAGGCCCAGAGGAAGCACCAGGAAGTTACAACATGGGGACATTTGTGACTGGAGGCAAGGACTAGAATCCTAGACCACCCACGAGTAACAACACAGCACTCCCACCCTACGTGGGAGCATGGAATCCTCACAGTCCTCCACCTAGGGACTAGGCCAGATGAAACCAGAAAGAGGCCAAAGCTCCTGGCCTCCCCACACAGCCCTGTGCACAAAGACACTATAGAGAAAGGGAGGACATAAAAGGCCGAGCTGCTACCACCAGGGAAGAGTGTCCTTTAAGCTGAAATTCGAAAAACAGGAAATTTTAATTCAGCTTCTCTCCTCCTCACCATCCCACCACAAACACTTACAGAGAGAAGGCCCATGGATGGTGGCAGAGTAGGTCCAACTTAGAGAAAAGTTCAAGTGACATCGTATCTGTGAGTCTGAGTAAAAGAGAAGGAATCTGTGACCCTATTACATTTATACTTGGAGATCTTAGCTTTTTTAGGTTTGGCAGTTGATCCAGTTATTTTTACTCATCCTTCTCCAATTCAGACGGATTCCAAGAGACTTGAAATATTGATAGCTCTGAATCATTTTCATTCAACTTGTCATAAAATGTATGTTTTCGTTCAGCATACGCTCATCCCCAAAGTGCTCATGAGCACTCATGTGAGTCAGGATTGTCTCAGGAATCAGAAACAACCAGCTATTTTAAGCATGGGATGATTTTGACAATTACAAAACCGCTGGCAAAGCTGCCTGTTTAGGCTAGGTGTCTACGAATGAGTTCCAGAAAACAGAACAGTGTTGCAGAACAGGTCTGCTATGGCTGCTGCAACTCCTAGGATAACCGCAAGTGGGGAATCAGAAGGCCACTGCACTGACTGTTGGCTTCAAGAACTTTCCATGCAAGCTGCCATCCAGGGGTGAGCTCACCCCAGCCTCTACTCCCTCTCAGTTCAGACTATGGATGATCCCAAGTGCTCTGCTCCCCGCCGGGCCCCTAAAGAAGTTGCAAGCAATGGCTTCCTCAAGTACATTCATCTACTGGTGGACTCAGAGTCATACCTAAAACCTCAGCTGCAAAGGAGTCAAGGAAACATAGCTTTTTGTTGCCAGCCTCTGTAGTCCTGGGAAGCCCACCACAGGGAAGGTGGAATAAACACTGGGTAGAAATTTGCACGTCTTCCAAGAAGAATATCAGGGACTAGTTTTTTTATACCTATGCTGGCCTAAGTTTTTGGTTTTATAATCACAAAAATAGTACATGTTCATAAAATAAAAATGAGAAAACAAATAAAAAGAAAATCAAAATTACTCATAACAGTTGACACTTCAGGGACCCCTGCTAGTATAATATTGTGATCTTGCTAAAAATATTTGTCTTTTTTCTCTTCACATGTAGATATTTTCAAATGAGATAATTTTCCAAAAGAGATAACTATTCTGTCATCTTTTCCTCTAAGAATACATGTTGAGGTTCCTTCAGTGACTGCACTGGCCAGGTAGTGGTGGGGAGAATGCCTTAGCCTTGGCCCTTCCCTCAATTTCACTTCTTGAGGCCCTCTGCTCAATGCTTGCAACAAGGAACTCAGTGTTTATTTTACTATGGATTTTTATTCCCGAATTTTGGCTAAACTCCTTAGACATAACCTATTGGCCTCAAAATATTGGTCAGCCCAGTAATCCTAGCATTTTGAGAGGCTGAGGCAGAAGAATCATTTGAAGCCAAGAGTTCAAGATGAGCCTGAGCACCAGCAAGACCTTGTATCTACACAAAATAGAAAAAAATTTGCTGGGCATGTCGGCATGTACCTGTAGTCCTAACTCCCTAGGAGGCTGAGGAGGGAGGATCACTTGAGCCCAGGAGTTTGAGGTTGCTGTGAGCTATGATGATGCCACCACACTGTAGCCTGGACAACAGAGTGAGATCCTGTCTCAAACAGAAAAAAAAAAAAAAAAAATATATATATATATATATACACACATATATATGTTATACATGTGTATGTGTGTGTGTGTATTTATATATGGCTGTTACGTTACTTGCTTGCTTCCTTACTATGGTAACCAGTTATGTACTCTTATTTGGAACTAACACAGTGGGTATCTCTCCACTCCACACCATTTACACAATCACAGATAATGACACTAAAAATCAACAGCAGAAGAAATGTCAAGAAGAGGCCATGCCAGCATCCAAGTAAACCAAATGTTCTTTCTTAGAGCCAAAGAACTTTACACAAAAAATGGAATTATAGGAACCCTAAGCATTTATTGATGTTTCTCACATAGTAATATTGACCATGAGATGATATTGAGATATTAAAAAATGGAGATGATACTGAGATATTAAAAAATTGAACTCTTACAGCCCTATTAATACTGTAAATGTTATCAAATATTAGTTATTAATCAACAGAATAAACAAAATGCTATGCTACCATAAAAAATAAAAAATAAATTTTTTTTTAGGAGACAGAGTGGCACCCTGAGTAGAGTACTGTGTTGTCATAACTCACAGCAACATAGAGCTCTTAGGCTCAAGTGATCCTCTTGCCTTAGCTTTCCTATTTTTAGAAGAGAGAGAGCCTCACTCTTGCTCAGGCTGGTCTCAAACTCCTGAACTCAAGCAAGCCACCTGCCTTGTCCTCCCAGAGTGCTAGGATTACAGGCATGAGCTACCATCCCAGGCCAAAATAAATGTTTTTAAGAATAGATTTTGAATACTTTCCATGTCAAAACATGATCACCCAGAATAGGAATCAGGAAACTTTTTTTTTTTGTACATACCAAATAATAACTATTTTAGGCTTTACAGACCACATGGTTTCTGTCACACTACTCAAGTGGCCATTTTGAGTGCAGTTGTGGACCCTAAACATTCATATGCTAAAGTCTTAATCCCCAGTACCTGAGATTGTGACATTTCTTTCAGAAATAGGGTTGTTGTAGATATAACTAGTTAAGAGGTCATGTGGAGTGCTGGAGTAGCATGGACCCCTAATCCAACATGCTCTGGTAAGGGGAAATTTGGGTACTGACACACACAGCAGGGAGGTGATGAGAGGAGACACAGGGGGAAGATGAACATCCACAGGTCAAGGAGAGAGGCCTGGAACAGATTCATAGCCCTCAGAGCACCTTATTTTTGGATTTCCTTCCAAAACTATGAGATGATACATTTCTGTTGTTAAGCCACTCTGATTGTGGCAGTTTATTACAGCAGCCATACACAATATATAAACAAGTGGTCATGGTTGTGTCCTAGTAAAACTTTATTTACAAAAACAGGCAGTTGGCTAATGGGCCATAGTTTCATCAACCTTTGGCCATATACAGAGAGTGACCAAAAAATATGTACAAATTTTAAGAAAGGAAACACCTGTATTAAAATTGTAATACTCTGGGGTGGTGCCCGTGGCTCAAAGGAGTAGGGTGCTGGCCCCATATGCTGGAGGTGGTGGGTTCAAACCTGT